ACGATACCCAGCCCGGGGTCATCACATGTGGTTGCCGCAAGCCCGCCGGCCACTCCTTCGTCGAATTCACCGGCCGCGCCGTTCTCAAGCTCGCCGCCTCTGCTCACTCAAGCCCGTCGTGTGTGATACTGTGTGTTTCATTGTGAAAGCGAAACTACTTTGTTTGGTCTTCCAAAAGAGGACACGACTAGAAATCAGTGGTTAAGTTGTATTTACAACACTGTTCCAGAACAGTTCAACCCAGATATTCAGATGTGTGCAGTGCATTTTATGGAGGACTGTTTCCTGAACCTGCAGAGTAACATTAGTCTAGTCTGTGGCACAAAGGCTGTTTCTATAAAGTTGGGCAGTTCCAACCATTACACCAAATACACAACATAATGTTCTTTTTAGCAACGTCATATGACACCTTTAATGTTTTATTAAATGACACTTTGTGCAGTTTCTTTGGAACAATATGTACAATAATACATTTACATTTTTATTATTTACATATATAAATAATGCATTTAAAGATGGAACAGATTTGCCAAAATAAGCCTGTTTTCAAACACACAGCTTATAACACAGGGATACGATGTCTTGAAAGTGCCGAAAAGTCAGTCATAATCTATAAACTGGTTGTAGCTATTTTTGCAATTTAGATGTTAAAATAATTGTTTAATAAATGTTTTAAAAGCACCACACAATATTTTTTTTTTGTAATAAAAATTAAATATTTTTAAAAATATATTTCAAAATGCCTTTCAGGGCCAAAAATAAATAAATTTGAATTGCACAATAGCAGTAATTTCAAATGAGAATAGCCTACTAGAGAGAAATGCTTTTTAAAAAATTATATATATAGTATATTTTGAAATATATAAAAAAAACATGTTTCAAGTTGTTATGATTAAATTATTTCATAATTTGTTATTTTATTATTTATTAATGTTTACTTTTTTATATATAATTATATTAAAATATCTATATAAAAAAAAGTAATAATTTTTAATTCTAATTTTTGGAATATGTGAATACATTTGTGAATACTTTTTTTTTAATTGAAATAAAATATAACTAAATTATTTGTAAAAAATGAAAATATATAAAAAAAATAAAAAGATAAAATTACATATATATGTATGTGTGTGTGTGTGTATCAGTAATATATTTTTTTAATAATTTAAAATGTATATTTTTTTGTTTGGCTATTTGACATGTTTTATTTATTTATTTATTTTGGCCACATGAGTAGGATCAGTCTTAACACTTCAGGGGAAACAATCTATAAATTGGCTTACTTATTTTAACATCAAAGTAACAACACACTTCACCTTTAAATCAGTCAAGAATAACAGGCATACGCATAGCTCATTTTCTGCATTTCTCTCACCATCAATGTCTGTGGTGCAATTTTTGCCACTTCCTGGACACTAAAATTTAAGAAGTCTCTATCATGCACCCTCCATCAAACACGTACACAAACCTTCAGAAAACCACACTGTCAATTCCCAGATAAGCATCGGCCTTTAAAAGTGAAAACCTTTCAAATATTTACGTGACGTGTTTGAGAGCGGCGCTTCTGTTGACCTTCATACATGCGGCTCGTTTATCCCAGTGATCAATGTCCTTATACTGTTTTCTGTTTATATTGAATAAAGTGAATGATGACAAGTTTGTTATAAAGATGAGCTCACAGTATGGATGAATAAACACTATACAAAAGGAAGTTTATCCTCTGTTTGCCGACACTCAGTTCGGTCATTTATGTACACAGGTTTGGCTACAGTGTTTTCCTTTTCTTACTAAGATAACACTCTACACGTGAGTTGTGTTGTTTTGGCAATCCTTGTTACCTCTGTCACCTTACAAGGAAGTGGAGTAATGTTTACCATGCTGCATTTGTGTACAAAAATAATTGCACAGCCATTTCCTTGCCTACATGAAACCATTGGTCAAAGTGCGTTTGTGACCTCTTGTGGTTTCGGCAGACTGTTTTTCTCAGTTTCAGGATGCTCCTTCTTGGAGCTCCATAGGATTTGTGGACACCAACATCTACCCCAAATGCCCCTCACCATCGCCCCAATTGTGTTTCTAAAAGCCGCAGAGGTGAAGTAAAAAATAATCGGGTCCAAACAAGCATTGAACGTGCTGAGAAGAAGGGCTTTGTCTCTCCAAGCTGGGCTTGACTTGGTTATGAAACCGACCACATGGGAGACGTTGTAGGGTCCAAAACAGAGCACAAACACCAACAACGTCCCCAAAGCCAATCCAATCGCCCGCAGCTTTCTCCGTCGGCCGATGTTTGGCAGCCTCGAAAGGATGCGGATGAAGTTTATGTAGCAGAAGCTGCAAATAAACAAGGGAACGCAGAAGAGAACAATGCACAACTCCAAGCGTACGGGCAAGAGGATCTCGAGTTGAGCGTCGGTGAATCCTTCGTAGCAGACGTTTCGGGATGGCGGGACCGTCCCGGATGGGTTGTAGTAGGGCACGATGTAGACAATGCTGAGATGGAGGATGGAAAACCCCCAGATGAAGATACTGGCGGACACGGCATAGATGGGTCTTCTCCGCAGGGAGTGCTGGATTGGGAACGCGACGCCGAGGTAGCGCTCCACGCTCACCGCGGTCAAGAAGAAGGTGCTGTTGTAGATGGTCATGTAGAAGACAAAGCCAGACAGCGGACACAGAAAGTATTCAATATTCCATACCATATTATTGGCCACTTCTTGCATCTTAAAGGGGAGGAAGATGAGGAAGAGCAAGTCTGAGATGATCAGGTTGAGAAGGAGGATGTCGATGGGTGCCGGCTTCCTCCAAATCTTGCGGCTGAGCGTGTAGAAGGCCAAGACGTTGGTGGGGAAGCCGGTGAGGAAGGTGACGATGTAGACGGTGAGGCACAGATAATAATCACAGTGTTGCATGGTTGCTGTGTTCCATACAGTCCACAGGAGGAGGAGGCTTCAGTAGAGCTGGACGTTTCAAACCTGGAAATTTGATGCAGTGTTAAAATCATGAAAAATGTCAATAATATAAATCAGGGGTCTCCAGTCCTGCTCCTAGAGAACCAGACATCCTGCAGAGTTTGGTCCCCCAGCACACTTGCCTGGAAGTTTCTAGTAATCATAAAGCTTCTTAATTGCTACTATTTAAAATTAAAACCATATTATAACCATATATTTCTTAACAATTTTTGCTTAAATGACTTCTGATTAAATTCGGAAAAGGATAAACTCACATTAGACTCTGATAACCGGCTAGTTTTTACTTTAGATGACCAATTGTATCTTCAATGACGTTTTCTAAAAAATTCTTTACTCTCACTTACAACAAAAGCAACCACTGTCTAAATTCCTTAAATACTTTCTCCCGAGTGTGCCCGAGCATCAGATGTTTCATCGGCGACATCTGATCTTATTTTCCTCAATACTTTTTAATAAATGCTTACTGTTGCTTTGAACAAAACCATCAATATTTGAAACGCTCAATAGAATAAAAATGAATAAATATTCAAAATCTCTTAACAGAAAAAACAACCAATATTTAAATGTCTTCATGGAACAAAATTGGCCTATATTTAAAGTTTTTAACAAGGCAAAACCAGCCAATATTTAAAATCGCTTAATAGAACAAAGCCTACCAATATTTAAAATCTCTTAATAGAAAGCCGACCAATATTTAAATCTCTTGATAGAACAAAGCTGACCAATATTTAAAATCTCTTAATAGAACAAAGCCTACCAATATTTAAAGATCTCTTAATAGAACAAATCCGACCAGTATTTAAAATCTCTTTATGAAACAAATCTGACCAATATTTAAATCTCTAAATAGAATAAAACAATCAATACTTAAATCTCTTAATGGAACAAAACCAACTAATATTTAAAATCTCTTAATAGAAAGCCGACCAATATTTAAATCTCTTGATAGAACAAAGCTGACCAATATTTAAAATCTCTTAATAGAACAAACCCGACCAATATTTAAAAATCTCTTAATAGAATAAACCCGACCAATATTTAAAAATCTCTTAATAGAACAAAGCCTACCAATATTTAAAGATCTCTTAATAGAACAAATCCGACCAGTATTTAAAATCTCTTTATGAAACAAATCTGACCAATATTTAAATCTCTAAATAGAATAAAACAACCAATACTTAAATCTCTTAATGGAACAAAACCAACTAATATTTAAATATCAAAACCGACCAACCTTTAAATTTGTCTTTGAATACTCAGAAGTGTGCCCGACCACTGCGGCACTAATATGTGTGCTAGACAACACTATAAATACAATATGGCTAGATTTAAAATCTGGAGGATCACTTGTATCATCGTTTTATATTGTCATATTGCCTAGCCCTAAAAATTGCACTATGCTAAAGTGCTAAGGCATTATAGACATAACAATGCAACTTTCTGTAAAGCTGCTTTGACAAGATGCATATTTTGAAAAGCACTAATAAATTTGACTTGACTGTAACTAGCAGGTTCTGGTGTGTTTAATGATAATTGCAGGACAGTGGGCCTATAGGAGCAAGATCGGACACCCTTGACGTAGATCAAACAAGAGCTCACTGTGGTGGAATAAGAACTGCAAAACAATAACTAGATTCTATAAAACTATTGTATATGATCACCAGGCCTGGAATCTGCGCCCACAGAAAACTCTGCCAAAGATCAACACATCCCCAACTCCTTGCAGAGTATGATGATTTAAAAGTATAGAACTCTTGGCTCTGTTTAAATTGCATTGCATTGCGCAGAATTCCTAAAGATTATCCACCAAAAAAGTGCAGATTGGCCTGATGATGACACACTGTGACCAGAATTAGCAGTTATTACTGAAAAACGTCTACAGGAAGTATTCAAACGCTTTATGACGAAGGAAAAACAGAGTTATGCAAGCCTCAAAAAGTGACAATCACGCAATAACAGAACTCTTTTACAACACTAGTACGCTTAAAACCATCCCTGCTCTTATGTTGAGAAAAAAAGGCAAACTCACCGCAAAGCACACTGGACCTCTCGGCTGTGCTGTATCGACTCTCTCTTGTTTTTCAATAGAGACTAGGGTCTATCTGCTGACGGCTTCCGCACCAACTGTTTGCTTTCCATTTTCAATATTGAACACTGATAAGGGAAAATTAATAAATGTGGACTGGATCCTACACGGTGTGCTCCTCGTGCACAGTCTCTGGTGCTGTATGTGTACATGTGAGCAAGTCTATGCCATCTTATCGGGATTTATACTGCTTCAGGGTGTGTGGGAGATGTGTTTAAGGATGATGGGTGTGTGCTTGCATATGTGAGCGTGACTGGGAGGGCAATGAATCAGTCTGGTCTCGCCTTCACTTTAACACTCAGCATCAAGGCTATAACCTCTCAAAGTATGATTGTACCATGTGACTGCATTTACAATCCCAATACATCCCCCAAATCAAAAGTGTTTTTAAAAAGAGGATAAGGCTGGGAATAATGCTGTATTCCATCCAGAGTTTGATGTTTTGGATGTCTTAATTTATTTTCTTAAAATTTCTGACCTTTAAGTTGGAATGGCAAAACTCTTCAAAATAATGGTGCCACGAAGAACCTTTAATATCCATTGAATCTTTGCATTCCACAAAAGGTTCTTTATAGTGGAAAAAAGATTCTTTACACTCTTAAAAATAAAAGTGCTAAAAGGAGGTTTTCACAGCGATGCCATAGAAGAACTATTCTCGGTTCCTCAAAGAACCTTTCAGTGAACAGTTCTTAAAACAGTTCCATTTTTTCTGAACATTTTAATAATCTAAATAACCTTTTTCCCCTAAAACGAACCTTTTGTGCAATGGAAAGTTTCCATGATTTTAAAGGATCCTCATGGAGCCATCAATGCCAATAAATAATCTTTGTTTTTAAGAGTGCAGACTACTAAAATGTGAACTGTTATTTTGCGGAACCAAAAGTGGATCTTCTACCCCCTTTTGGAGCCTTTATTTTTAAGAGTGTACGGTTTAGTCATTTTTATTTATACAGCGTGTTTCACAATACATGTTGCTTTAAATCACAAGTACAGGCGACGATAACTTTGCAGATGTCCAATTGTCAACAAAGACGTCTCCTAGCGACCAAACTGTGGTGTATAACGATTCTGTTCAATGCAAGCATTTATTCTACAGCTGTACAATTATCACCTGAGGATCATTTAGTGTTTTACACTCCTGCCTCTGCAAACGTTTGCTAAACCGCTTTTATTATCATCGGCTTTGATGGATTGGTGCATTTTATTTGCTTGAAAGTTTATGATGTCATGCTTTGCCATCTTGGCAAATCAGCATTTTCTGCAAGTTCAATTGCACTTTTCCAAGTCAGAATGTGTATGAATTTGTAGTTGAATGTAATACAGCATAAGATCACTTTCAACAAGTCTTTCAGGTCTATTATTCATTCAGTATCTAAAATTACGGAAAATCCCTGTCGCTCAGCACAGAACCCTCCATGAGTAGGAAATTCATCCCTTTCACAATGACGTGCAATACACTTTACTACACATGACAATGCTGTGTTTCATAGCAAAAAGTCTGATTATGTAATGACTCATCAAGGTTGTATTGGAAAACACTCACTAGTTCATTTATTATTAGCTATAATGGGAAGAAATGAGCCAAACTGAGTCAGCAAACCTGTACGCTAATGTAATTATAGCTCATCTGGTCAGATTTTAACTAGAAAAGAGATAACCATGAGCATAACATCATCATTATTATCCATCCCTAAAAAAAAGGATCAAAAAGTCATTAAAAGCATTTGATTAGACATATAAATGTTGTCTTTCTCATTATGTAAATTCCCCACTAAACAACCAGTATTAAAATATTAAAACCTCAAAGGCCGGAAACAGATGCATTGCTAAATATCAATATCTGTATAATCTTAAAAAGACAAAAGACTTACTAAACAAGGATTTGTTCTTTTGTAAACTCCGAGGCGACACGGGACGTTGCCTCCACATCACATACGCACTCCACATTTTGGCTGGTTTCGTGGGATTGCGCCTGCTCTCCGTTCCTCTCACTGAAAAGGAACTGTAACCAACTTTTTCCTAGCAGCTCCTTGTGCTTTACTTTGTCGCCCCCTCTCATTTCGATTTCCTACGTGTCTGCGCCATAGGAAAAGTGGTAAATAGAAAAAAATAGAAAGATGGATTATAATTTCACCGTGCAGCACAGATCAAGTTAATCACATATTAAGAAAACAATTGTCGTCATAAGAAAGAGACGAGGAATGTTTCATGATGAGGGAGCCCCACTAAAGCTTACAGACTCTTGTGAATTATAGCGACAGCCATGCACAGGCCTAGTATACATCCATTGACAATGACGTATACCAGCGAGCGGCTGTGTTACAGTGTCTTTTGTATTTATGTATTATGTATTTATAGATGAAGATGCAGCTGATCATTTATTTTCTAGCAAGGAAGAGGGACTTAAATATTGCTGAAGGTTTAGCATGATTTAAGGTTATGTATATGCGTGTCTAATGCCGGGAATTGTTCTGGAATGATGTAAACATAGCATGCATGGATTTCATGCATTTCAGAGTTAGTACATCTGCTCAGACTTCATATGCATGTTTAAACAAAATGGTACTGTAAGCATTTTCTTACAAAATAGCATGCAGAAAACAAATAGATGTCAGTGATGTACAAATCAGTGATGTAACGTTACCGTTTAGCCGATCAGAGGACTTTGAGGGTCTTTCTGCCTGTCAGTCATGTTCAGGTTTGCTTACATGTCTTTGGAGGGCAGGATTTGGATGGTTTAAATCTGGCGGAAGTCAGAATCTGGCTAAAATTGCTTATAGCATATTTAATGTACCCACAAATACAGCACTAAATGAATTACATGAATACAGAACACTCAATGCACATGCATTATATTTGTACAATTAAAACAAGCTCATTTATATTATTTTTTGCATATTTTTATTCAGTAGAAATGACACATCAAGCCGTTTTCTAATCGTGAGGGAAAAAGTGCTGCGGCTCCAAATAAGCTTATCTTATCTGCTCTTGCATACAATTAACAACAATTTAACGATTACATATTTACATGCAAAAATACTATAATATAATGGAGATATGAAAAGTATTTAATAAAAGAACACACATTTGAATGCAAATAAAGGGTAAAAAAAATTCACCTTATTAAACATAATTCACGGTACAAACATAAAGGGAAAATAATCAATAATCCCAATTTTAAAGAAAAAAAATCTAAATATAAGGGCAATATATTAGAAGAAGTACTTAAATGATATAGTATGTCAGGAGAAAAGTTATTAAAATTTATTTATGCAGTGAAGTTTATGCTGCAGCAGAAACGATTTTTTTTTTAAATGATGCTAAAAGTGAAATGCAAAAACTTTCAGCTGGTTTGCAATCTGCTTGTTTGAACAATTTTAAAGGAAAAAAATCTAAATATAAGGGCAATATATTAGAAGAAGTACTTAAATGATATAGTATGTCAGGAGAAAAGTTATTAAAATTTATTTATGCAGTGAAGTTTATGCTGCAGCAGAAACGATTTTTTTTTTTAAATGATGCTAAAAGTGAAATGCAAAAACTTTCAGCTGGTTTGCAATCTGCTTGTTTGAGTGGCCCATATGGGCAGGATATAACACTGGATCAACCAATGCTGTGAATTTGAGGAAGTGTGAAATGTCATTATTTTATTTGGTGCCGCTAGTGCTGCACAAATTACACCCTTCACATTGAATGCCCATGGTGTCAAAGACACCATAAGCTCCCTGAAGGTGCATTTACCTGATAATGATACTGATCCTGACAGAAAACACTCAATAAACCTGCTTGAGCATTTGTCATTAGGATCGATATCAGACAGTGCATTAAAAACATGCCTGCTTTAGGCTGCTTCACCAGGAAGACATCCAAGGTCAACCAGAAAGCCTAAGTTGAGGGCACGCTGAACCTCAATAGAAGCAAAAATAATTATAGACTCAAGTCATTAGAGTGCAATAGCTGGGTTCCGGAAGTAAAAACCCATTCATTTACTCCATAGGGAAATTGATTTTGAAAGATAACTTATTAACCTTTAAAGACAGACCTACTGTGAGATCTAAGGTTGTTAATCAGCTTTTGTTGAAGCCATCCATTCACTTATTTTAAAATAAATGTGTTTAACAGCTGAATTCATGGTGAAAAAAGTACATTACCCATGATGCTGTACAGAAAATTCCACCAATAAAAAAAGAAAATCACAACAAAATGCCCACTCATGAAAATACGTGACAGAGTCTCGCTATGCTATCAAAATACTAAATATTTACATATATGCATATTTTGCAATACATTTTAAACATACTGTTTCACCATTAAAAGAAGATTTTCATATTTCTCCATCATTTTTTATTTGATTATGTAATTTGCAATGCTTCTTGGGACTCTAGTCCTCCCTCAGTAAAGTCGTTAAAACTTGTAACTTTGTCTAATTTTTAAATACTTTTTTGTTTCAAATCAAAGTTTGTAATGTTATGGTTCACCTCGTAGCTGGTTGGTTTGGTTCACTGCTTATAGTGCTTTAATGAAGATCCCTATAGGAAAAATGAATGGAAAAAAATACTGGAACCTCTATAGTAATAGTGGTCCATTATACAGGTCCATTAAGTCGCGCATCAGAATTGTGTTCATTTGCTTTTGGATTGATCAGCATGTGCTGACATTGCTCAACTGCAGTCAGAAGAAAACACAGAAAATACTGGCTCTTCTACAGCAGACACCTCTCAGATTGAGTCACATTTAGCAGGTCAATCGAATCAAACTCTGCGTCCCGGCTTGTGATGTTACAGAGAGCTGTCAGTCGTGCTCTGAGTTTTCGCCTCTGTACTCGAACAGTTCACCAGAGGACAATAGAGAGCTGAGCGGAAGCAGGGCTGGAGCAGCCGCCTCGACAACTCCTGAAAGACGTTCTTGAAAGTTCCTCTGAGTGCCGAAGAAGAGAAGTAGAATATGAATGGATCGAGGCACGCGTTAAACGTGCTTGTGAGCAGAGCATAAACTCGCCAGTCGGGGCTGTAGTTGCCTACATATCCAATCACGTGCGAGACGTTGTAGGGCATGAAGCAGATAATGAAGACCAGAAGTGTGCCCAACGCCATCCCGATGGCTCTATACCGTTTCTTGGCATTGATGTTGGGCAGATTGGAGAGGATGTGGATGAATTTGATGTAGCAGAAGCAGCAGATGAGGAACGGCATGGCGAAGAGCACCGCGAAAAGCTCCAGGCGAAACGGCAGGAGGATCTTGAGCTGTTCAATGCTGAATTCCTCATAACAGGTGTCCCGTGTGTACGGTGCCGTGTAGTTGGGGTTCGAACTATCGTGGTATTGCATGATGTAGACGATACTGCAGTGCGCCATGGAAATCAGCCAGAATATGACACTGGCTATCACGGCATTTCGAGAGTTACGTTTGAGCTTGTATTTAATGGGGAAGGCTACACCCAGGTAGCGCTCCACGCTGATGGCTGTCAGGTGGAAGGTGCTGTTGTAGATGGTGGAGTAGAAGATGAATCCCGACAGCGGGCAGAGGAAGTAAGGCAGCGTCCATTTCATGTTGGCCGCCTCCACCATGCGAAACGGCAGGAAAAAGAGGAAGATCAGGTCAGAGATGGTTAAACTGAATAACAGCACGTCCATTGGAGTGCAGCGCTGGCGAATCTTCTGAAAGAAGGTGTAGAAAGCCAAGACGTTGGCGGGAAGGCCTGTGATCAATGTGAATCCGTAGACCCCTAACACCAGGTTACTGAGAGCCACCGTCCACACCATCGTCACTGTAGATGCAAACCTGTAAAAGAAAAAGAAAGATTTAATTCAAGATAAACTCAGGTTTTACATCTTACATCCAATGTCAACCATGACAAACCTGTGCATTTGAACAGTGCATAACTGCAAGAACCTTTTGTGGAATGGAAAGGTTCCATAGACGTTAAAGGTTCTTCATGGAACCAAAGATGCAAATAAAGAAACTTTATTTTTTTTAAAGATCAAGGTCAAAATATAGCCATTATTTTGCACTGATTTGCAGGAGAAAATGTTATAAGACTAAGCCAGGACCAGGCAATAGTTCAATTAGGACATTTAAGTCATTTTTATTAACGTGCTTTAGAAAAAACACTTTTGAGACAAAACGGAGGCAATGATATATTTTAAGATCAGTCAGTGCAAGTTCCTTTCAGATAAAACAGCTCAGACTTACACTTCAGTCTGGGACTAGGCTTAAGCCTTGTCTGTGAAACCGGGGGTAAAAGTCTGAAACTGCAATAAAATATTGTTTTTGAAGAAGCAGGATTATTTTAGTCCAACGATCCTATAAATTTGACAAACAAAAGCACTAGGGCACTTCAAAATTAGCTAATTTATTGATGCCAAAAAAAACACAGCACAAAACATACGAGTCTGATTAAACCACACAGTTGTACGTGACACATTGAGGATGCAGTGTGTCTGGGTCAGGGGTCAAATTCTAACTAGGTTACACAGCACAGGAAATGCATCATGGAGATAGAGATGTTTCCAATAAATGATTTTGCAAAACCCTTGGAGAATATGAGTAGTGAGGTTCTTATGGTTACCATCTGTCGATAAATTAGCATTACAGGACATTTTTGGTGAATGTCTTTTTTCAAACCACAAAAATATCAGATAAACTACTCATTTGTTATATACATATTCAAACAAAAACATTTACATTAGGGCTGCATAATATATTGAAAAAAAAACACGCTGGAAAACAATGCCAAAATAAATCTGTTTAATAATGAAGAAATTGAGATTTAAAGATTAATATTGTAATTGTACAGTTGTACCAAAAATAATATACAAATAATTATTTTATTCAAATATATTTTTTATCAAATTCTATTTTTTTTGTATTATTACATTATATTTCTATATTATAATTAAATAATAATCACGGTTAAAAAAATTTGTTTAATTTTTGATCAAATTCTGTTCGATTTATGGTTGCTGAAAGAGGTTTGAATCAGTGAAGAATATACTTTGAAGAAACAGTGTCTATTATAGAATATAGTGCAAAGTTTTTCCTCAAACTTGTTCAACACTAAAAGATGGTTCACATTCAGAAAAAAAGTTTTCAGAGTAAAAACGAATATTTTAGCTTTATTATTATTATTTATGCAGGTGTTTAATTTTTGATCAAATTCTGTTCGATTTATGGTTGCTGAAAGAGGTTTGAATCAGTGAAGAATATACTTTGAAGAAACAGTGTCTATTATAGAATATAGTGCAAAGTTTTTCCTCAAACTTGATGGTTCACATTCAGAAAAAAAGTTTTCAGAGTAAAAACGAATATTTTAGCTTTATTATTATTATTTATGCAGATGCACTCCCCAAACAAGTCATTCTAGAATGATTAATTATTTCCAAATATAGCAATTCAAGTCTTCTCGTAAGTCTTCTTGTATAGAAATATTCATCTGATCGTAAGCTGGTAGCTGATTTTTTAAACATGGTAAGCTGATGGTAGCCGGTCAAGCCTGACCACTTTAATCCAAACAGTTCTTAGTGGTTTTCACGATCTAGGGCATTTTCTTAGGGGTGTTTCAGCTCCTTTATAAGACCCCTCTGTGAACCCTATGAGTTAACATACCTTTGAACATTAAAAAATGCTTTTATTAGCCAGATTTCTGTTAAATAAACGTCCAAAGTATCATGTACCATTTTAAAGTTGGTGAAGGAATGACAAGCTACAATCACGAACGAAACCAAACAAAAGAAGCAGGAAGATTTCATACCTTAAGTCAGTCCAATACCACAGACTCAGAAGTGACGATGTCTCTTTCTCTCACACATAATGCTTCTTATAATGAGGTCATTGTGACAGACACACACCTATAATGACACAACAGGAAAGAAGCAATTCTTACTTCGTTTTACTCCAAACAAGTGTAATTATTAAACACACACACAGCTATCAATTATATTTACACACAAAATAATAATATACAATGCATTTATACAATATATTATTATTATTCAATATTTATATAAATATTTATTCAAAATATTTCACATCTGAAAATTAATTCAGCTTACATGACACATTATTTATGCACACACAATAATAAGAAATAACAACAATAATAAATAATTATAATATATAAATATTACATATATATATATATATATATATATTTCACTTGCTCTAGACAGCTGAAAATCAAATTCATCTGACATTTATTTATTTCACAAGAATCTGTTTTCTGTTGTTTTGACTGTTGTTATGCGGTTGCTAAGGTGTTTTGGGTGGTTGTTTACTGGCAAAATAAAAGAGTATCTATATGATACATCAAAGTTTAATATCACAGAGGCAGTATTATTTATTTCATAACCTATGATAAAAATGCTTTATTATTTTCAATCATTTTCAAGGCAATTATTTGAGGTAAAATGCAGTTCTCTACTGTAAGGAGAAAGCGTTTTGAGATGTGATGGGATGCTCCATTGCTTCGCACATTTCTTCTTTTGCTAAACTCAAGATTGTACAATAGAGGGCAACTCGAGGTTATGTAATACTGTACAATGAAACATTTCACACATTCAATATATCTGCCTCGTACTTTCACTTCTAACTGGATGTTGTTTTAGGATAAATATAGGTTTATATTCATGTATAAAACTGACTAAGCAATTTTGGGACAAACCAGTATCCCCCCCGGAGATTGTGCTGGTGTGTTGAATAAGGGTTAATTGTGTTTAGCCTGACAGATGAGAGAAATGACTCTAGCCAAAGGCAAATTCAAGCACATGTTCAAGAAATAGTTTGCCAGGTCATTATTTACTCACCTTAATGTTGTTCCAAACCCGTATAACGTTTGTTCTTCTGTGTAAAAGCATAGTTAGGCCGAATGTTTACACTTTTCCATACCGTGAAAGTAAATGAGGACTGAAGTTGTGGAGAATCAACAGCATAAAAGTAGCTCATATGTCTCGTACTCTACATTCAACTTATATGATAGCTTGATGTGTTCACCTCAATATTCACTTTAAATCATTCCTTCCGTCTGATCTCATTTATGCATGCACATATTGAAATGTGTTGTTGTTTACTAAAACGACAACTGAAAAAAATATAAATTAAAGCTATATAAATATATTTTGTATTTACTATTTTAGTGTTTGTTAATATTTTGAATCAATCAAATTGATCAAAAAATAATAATTTGTTACTAATGTAGATTACCGTAAATTTGCAAAAATTGCTAAAAATAAAATTCAAACTCGTACTCTACATTCAACTTATATGATAGCTTGATGTGTTCACCTCAATATTCACTTTAAATCATTCCTTCCGTCTGATCTCATTTATGCATGTACATATTGAAATGTGTTGTTGTTTACTAAAACGACAACTGAAAAAAATATAAATTAAAGCTATATAAATATATTTTGTATTTACTATTTTAGTGTTTGTTAATATTTTGAATCAATCAAATTGATCAAAAAATAATAATTTGTTACTAATGTAGATTACCGTAAATTTGCAAAAATTGCTAAAAATAAAATTCAAATTCAAAATATTAATAAATATAAAAATTGTGTGTGTGTATATATATATATATATATATATATATTAGTATTTATTAATATTTTGAATTTGATTTTATATATATTTTTAGTTATTTACTTTACAGCAATCTAACTATGAAAAAATACTTCTAAAAGTATGTATTAATCATAATGTTTATTTCAAAAAGTATGCATTATTAAAGTTGTATCTGTTAATATTATTTAATGAAACTAACATGAACTAACATTGAACAGTTGTGTTTTTATTAACTAAGGTTTACAAAGATTAATAAATTCTGTAACAAATGTACTGTTCATTGGTAGTTGTAGGTTAATGCATTAACTAAGATTGACTAATGGGAGTGTATTGCAAAGTGTCACCAACACAATTATTTAAAAAAAATGAAATTTAAAATGAAAATTAACAATATTTTTAATCCAATTTAAAATATGAATAAATACTAAAATGGTAAATTAATAATACTAAAAGAATACTGGTTGTTAGATAAATGTATGGAGATTTACAGTAGTATTTAGGGGTAAATAGGAGTAAAAAAAATGACTTGGTTGATTTCCCCATACAACATAACTACAAACACTACACAGCTTGGAATAAAACTACTGAACTACCAGATTTATCTTTCCTTTTTTTTTCGTTTTGGAGCTTGACAGACATAGATTTTCATTGCACGAGAAAGAGGATGTCCTCAAAATTTCTCCTTTTGTGTTCTACAGAAGAAAGAAAAATCACACAGGTCTGAAATGTCAAAATGTTCATTACAGGAAGAGCCAACCCCACAAATGCCCACAGAACTTTTCTAACGGTGTATGAACGTGTGACGAGACACCCGGCAGAAGCACTTCATGTCACGCTGACAAACAAAAGCCACGGAGAGCCTCTTCAGAAACGAAGGTGAAGGTGAGAGGAAGTTAAATGTGACAGACTCATCACGTCACAATGAATCGCTGCCTGGCGTTTAATCAGAGACTGTGGCAATCAGCACCGCCTCCTCTGACATTTCAGCAGATACAGTCTGTCCCGCGTGCTGAAAGATGAATCTATGTGATAATTAGACTGCTCTGTTCTGCATCTCGCCCTGTAATTACCCGGAAATCTGCTGCGTGTGTGAGTCTGTGAACGAGCAAGACAGTGTTTATTAAAACACGGCTGAATAGCATTTACCTGAACATCGCGTGGACTACTGATTGATCCGATGATTGTGCATCAGCAAAAGATCAGGACACCACCGATACTGAGCGACCACCATCTCATTAGGCATGTTGGTATTTTTAGTGATGTTTGCTAAAGTTTAAAATCAGAATTAGCCTACTGATGTAAACAAGCACCTTGCACAAGCCTAAGGCAGAAAAAAGAGCTTTCCCTGATAACACACGTACATCACGGAGACGTCTATTTGACGTCTGCATTACATCTGCGAGACGTATTTTTTAGAGTGTTTGCTCATCTGCAATGCGTCTATAGGATGTTTCCTATCGGATGTCAAAAAGATGTCTTTAAGATGTTTATGATTTAGAATGCATGTAAAACTGACATCTTAAAGACGTCTGTCAGATGTTTGTACACAGCAGATGCTTTCCAGATGAGGCGATCTTTAACAGACATCATTCAGACATCTTTTAAAGCAGGATGGATTCTGATTGGCTGCCAGTGTTTCTAATGTTCATCAGCTGGAAATAGTTCTGAAAGTGAGTCCCATAATATTGTTCCTATGTGCCGTTACCGTTTTGTTTGTTGTGTTGAATCTGCTATTCTTTCCAATTTCAGGTTATTCACACAAAGAACGATAACTATAGCATCCACACTAAAGAATGATATAATACAAGCACGCGCTGCAGTTTCGTCATCTGCCGCTTTAAATACTTGAGCTGGATTCTGATTGGCTGTAAATGTTTATATCGTTCATCAGATGGAAAAATCAGTCTGAAAGTGAGTCCAACATCTTCCTTTGTGTAGTTAGGCCTATCGTTATAGCTGTGGCGTAAACTCTGCTATTCTTTGAAATGTAGAAAGATTTTTAAAACTATCCTTATCGTTATCGTACTTGGTGTGTGAACGGACCTTATAATTAAATAAATGACCAAAATATCCCTTAAAGTTATTACAACAATATCATTCCTCTGTGTCGTTATCACTACATCTGTGGTGTTGAACCTGCTATTCTTTTAAATATAAGGCCTGTTCACATTAAGAACGATAACCATACAGTGTCCAACTCCAAACCAAAGAATCGTAACGGTCTATTATAATATAAGCGCGTTGCTATTTTGTCATCTGCCACTTTAAATACAGTATAAAGATAACGATAATTAGTGTATACTAGCCTCCACATTGATGCACAATAATGTTATTTTTATTATAAACATGCGCTAGACCTGCATTTATGATACTGTACCACCCATAGCACCCTAGCAACCACTTAGCAACGCTCCACCAGCAAACATGTTATAAAAAAAACAGTCAGAGCAGCACCACAGCACCTGCTTAGCAACAACTCAGAACTACACTAGCAGCCAACTCCACAGCAACCACCTTATATTTCATTAGCAACCGTGTAATAAACACTCACAGCACCTTAACAGTTGTCAATCAAGGAACTGGCAACCACCTCAACATTTTGCTTGGGAAAGCACCACTCTTAGCAACTTCACACAATGTTCCCTTAGTTCTTTCTGTTTACTTACCCAGAACAATATTTCAGAACGTTATTTCCTTCCCAGTAGATAACATATTGACCACATAGTGTTATCACACATTCATATATTGCTGCTTTGAGACATGTTTGTGGTTTTAACATGAACAAAACAACATTTTTACATCTGATGACAAATCTATTATCGGTTTGAACACAGCAATTCAGACTTTCAAAACTTTATCTGATCCAGTGTGGTTAATTTAAAGGTTTTTTGAAGCATTTTATTCACAGTGACTTATATATGGCACCATCTTGTGGCCTCATTTAATAAAAAAAAAAAGAGAAGGAAAAAACAGTGTAAAAATGTAAAATAAATAAATAAATTCTTAAATATAAGATTAAACAAAATAAATAAATGCACATTTTGATTAAAATCAATACATATAGTACAATACATAAATTAAAAAATTGATTTAAATCATGTATTTAACATATTTCCACATGATATTTTACCCCTTTTTTTTATATAAATTTTTCACAGTATAAACTGGGTCTTTATACATGAAAATATATAGCTGTCTTTTGTTGTTGTTAATAT